GTGTGTGAACACCAAAGTGACGCATTTAATGCTTCATTTCTTCAGCTGATTGACCTGCCGGCACGCATTCTTATACAGGTGGTTCTATCTGAGACCGGCTTTGAATTTTAGGATCGCTTTTTCACTGAATTTTCGGTACACACGAGCTTAAATCCTTTACCTCGTTCAGTTAAAATTTCTCGAAATTTCGCCTCATTAAATCATCAAGTAAAAAAATACAACTAAGAAACCAATTTTTGAATCAAATGCCGTAAAGGACTTCAGTAATGAAACAAAGCGCGAATATCTCCATTTAATGCCAACTTCTAAACTAGTTTTTAACTGTTAATTTCTTGTTTTCTTTTCTTTTCACTTTTCTTCTATTCAACAACAGTGTTGTAAATTCATTTAAATGCAGTTGGAGAGCGGGAGCAAATGGTGGAGAAAAAGTTTCACAAATTATCGCAACTTATTTGCACATTCGTTATTCAAGCATGCAACAACAACAACAAAAACAACAACAAGAGTAACAACAATCCGAACAAGTGTACAAAAACGACAACAACACCCAAAAGGCATCTGCATATCAAGCACACACTCGTTTCGAATGGAAGGCAGTGAGGCACTCAGGCGCTCAAGCGCGCAGGCACTCGACAGGCAGCAAGAAAGCAAAGCTTGTTTAATCCTTCAATTCGAAAGTGTTTTGTAAATAACGTGCAGTCGTGCGACGAGTGGCGAAAAGAATAAGAAGAAGCAAGCAAGCAAACAAACAAACATAAATAGCGTTTAAATAACAAACGGCTCTCGGCGTGGCGTGGCCTGGCGTTGCACATGCATTTCATGTCGACAGAGGGCGCCAGGTCGCGTAATGTATAGCTGTTGCATTTCTTTGGCCTCTGTTGTTTTCTATTTTTTATCTTGTATTTTTTGCTCTATTGCTTATTGCGTTATCTGGGCATTAGTTTTTTGGCGGGTTTTTGCACTGCGTTCCGTTGATCTTTTTCACGCTGGGAAGCTGCCCAATAAACATGTTGAGTTGAGTTTCTGGCATTTTCAGAATCTGCGAAGCTTTCATGCTAGAAACCCACAAACTCAAGTATACGGCTTCCATAGTCTCAAAATTGAGTTAAGGGCGCAAACACCTTACAAAGTGGGTGATGTGCAGAAGGTCTCTCAGTGAAAAACTTCCATTCAATGCAACGCATGAATCTGGAACTCATAAGAATGGTAATTACTGGTCATTTCCTCGTCTAAGGTGGCTAATTTCAGATACACAGGAGTGTTTTCTTCGAGATATATGATTCTTCAAGCCTATTCATGAAATTTCTATTAGAAACGTATATCAATACCTAGAGGACAGAAAAGAAGCCACCTGAAAGAAATAAAATGTAAGTAGACATGAAGTTTGGGGGTTGTTCTTAATGCGGTGGCTAGGTAACCCCACTAAGGAGCAATCAAAATCAGTTACTGTCGTTCAAAAGATCCCTAGAACGTGCTGTTTTAACGGATGAAGATGTAAAGTGAGTAGTGGGTTGTAAGCAGTCATAGCTCATTCTTGTCATTCTTCACGGCTGCCACTCAAAGGTCAGTTTTAGTTTCATTCGAAATATATGCGCAGTGAATTGGTGACGCTATCAGAAGCTATCATCTTAACTAACGCGGCATACTAACCGATTCTACCTAGATTATAGATATGTTCTGCTAAGGTGGCCATGCTTCTTCTTCTATGCAGGCTTATCTGAAGAATTATCACATTTAAATTATGATTTTCTCTCAGATTCGGGTAGATTCTAAGGCACTCAAGCACTTACTGAGTCATTTGCCACCTTTGGCTCTTTTGGCCTGTTGATGTTATGGGTGCCTGTTGGTCGTTGTCGCCCTTTGTAATTTTAGCGAACGTAGCGTACACGATATTCTTGGCCTGTTGATCTGGTTTATGTAATTCAGGTCTTTATGTTGGCATTCTCCCATAGACCTTGATGTTTCATAATAGTAAGGAAGTAAGGATTCGTCTCTATATTTAATAGATTTAATCTCTGCACCATAAAAAGTTGTTAGAAGTCAGCTCGATCAGAACATATTCTTGAAAAGATCCCCATTGCTCCTTACCTCTTCTGAGTTACTTGCGCCAGTGGGTTACTGTGAGCAATAGGCTGCCTAAAAGTAATGCTCTTTTGACTATATTACCTCAGCGTCCTCCTTCCCATTGATCTTCCAACTAATTCTGATGGCTTTTATTTAGCAAATAATTGTATTTTGGTCGCAAAAATTTTGGTAAATACCGCGTATCGAGTCGGTGGAAATAAAGTTTGACCTTGTTGCGTAGTATTATTCTTATTCTTCAGTAGCTTTTAGTAGGCAAGCAAAGAGTTGATTACTGTGCTGCGGGGAGTTTCATTGCATACGCTGAGTTTGTGAAAGTAATATCTGGATCAGTAGAATTTGAGCCTACTACAGTGAGCTTATCTTATATGTGCTATCGAGCTCGTCGGTTATTATGGGTTGTGTCGAATCTGTAGCATATAACTTGGTCTCTAAATTTGAGTACTTCTGTCTTGATGTTGTTGGGAGATAGGTTTCCTTCTGATAGATGCCAATATAACAGTTACTGATTATAAGTGTAAAATATTAGGTGTTAATTAAAAAGTATATAGACGATATCTCACTCGTTCTCGGAGTTAAGACCCATGACTCTCCGGATGGGAGGCTTGAAAAGCCCAAAAACCTCGAGCTTTGGCTCACTGTGTTACTTTTTCCAGTTTCCCTTATGATGCAGGACATTTAATGCGACTTCTTTTCTTAGCTCAGGCGCTTATCACGCATGTCTATCTATTATCGGTAGCTTAATTTTGCATTTGCATGCAGATTTCGCTGTTTATTTCACAAATTAATCGATGTTCTTAATTCAGTACAAATTTTTGTTTGATTTTGTTATAAACTTTGCATAAATTGCAGTTTTCCTAAGACTCTCTCAAGGTACATTGCTATGCTGTGTAATTCTCTGCCTTTATATGAATGCTGCTTTGCATCCTACCTTAAGCACTCCTTTCATTCTTTGTAATTTCCCTTAAGGTGTATTATTAATTATGTACTTACGAGCAGCAAATCAGTGCACCTTTTATTCTTCTTAAATCTTAAGAAGCGCTCATTTGCAAAGATAATAAATGATTAATGAGATTGGCATTTATTTAAGGAATAATAATCGCTTTATTATACATCGTAATGCAGGGGTTTATTTTAAAGGAATGTAGTGAGTGCAGCTAACTTCATGCTTTAACTTTTAATTGATACATTGAAGACAGATGGAGTCGAGAAGCTCAAAATAAAATGAACTAAAATAATATAAAATGAAATAAAATATAATAAAATGAAAAAAAATAAAACCTAAGAACAAATGGATTTAAAATAAAAAAAATAAAATAATTTATAGTAAAATAGAATAAAAAACAAAAAAACTAAAATTAAATAAAGTATAAAATAAAATAAAATACAATAAAATAAAAGAACACAAAATAAAAAAAATAAACCAAAATAATTCCATATAAAATAAATTAAGTAAAATAAAATTAAAGAAGATAATAAAGCATAAACTAAAATCAAAACAAATAAAATAAAACAAAATAAGAAAAAATAAAATAAAATAAAATAAAATAAAATAAAATAAAATAAATGAAGAAAAATTAAATAAAAAAAAAAATTAAAAAAAAATAAAAAAAGCGGATAAAATAAAAAATTTTTAAATAACATAACATAAATATAACAAAAAAGAATATTAAAAATAACATGAAATAAAATTAAATAAATTTAAATAAGTTTAAATTAAATAAATTGACTCAAATTAAGTTAAACCAAAGTTAAATATAATAAAACAAAATAAAATAAATTTACTCAATATTAAAGAAAGTAATTCAAAAAAATTAAAATAAAATATTATAAAATGATGATGGCAAATAAAATAACATAAAATTAAATTAATTAAATAAAACCAAAAAAAAAATAAATTAAATATATTATATTAAAATAAATAAAATAAAATAAAAATAAAGTAAAATGAAATGGAAAAAATAAATTAATTAGAATAATATACATAAAATAAAATATAATATATATACAAGAAAAAATTAAACAAATAAATTAAAATAAAATAAAGTTAAATAAAATAAAATAAAATAAATTAAACAACTAAACTGAAGTAAAATAAAATAAAGCAAAGTAAAGCAAAATAAAATAATGAAACAAAAAAATTGAACAAGATAAATAAAAAGAAAAATTAAATTAAATAAAAAAATGGAATAAAATTTAAGAAAAAATAATAAAATAATAATTTGTAATAAAATCTAAAAATATATAAAAAAAAATATGAAATATATATTATAATCAAATATAATTGAATATATACATATAAAATATAATCCGGTCTAGAAAGATAATATGGTTCGCTTTCTTTTCATCCACAATTTTAGCTCTGCGGTGACCTTACACTTAACCTCATAAAGCCATCTTTAGTCTGCGTCTATGGCAAAGGCCTGCTCAGGCATATACATTGCCGTCCTTCGACACAGGTAATAGTGCGTGGCGTACATGATTTGTTGTGGATAGAAGGGTTCCTTCTCTCGCTAGTTCATCCGCCATGTAACTACCTGCGATGTCACTGCGTCCAGGTAACCAGATCACGGCAGTGTGTATTGCATTTGGTCCAGAGTTTGTTCAGAATACTTCTACATTTTATAGCCACTTTTGTTGTGGTACTGCTACGTTGTAAAGATCTGAGCGCAGCTTGTGTGTCGGAATATATAGCAACTGATTATCCTGCTGCCTGAAATTACTTCATTTGATTAAGACAAGGATATATTAACCTGGAAAAAGTCGTCCTTCCCCACCATATGTCCGCATTTTGTGTTACACAAACCATTTCTAATGAATTCTGAGAATATCTTTTTTGCGCGCTATGCGTTAATGACCTTGCTGGTCTGCAGTAGACTGGTAAGGTCTATATGCTCATTCTGTATATCTCTTTCTCACACTCAACTGCCACAAGGACAGTATAAAAGCAGTTCATTTTTGCATAGTCCTACAACATTTGTAATTTCGTCGCATTTGAGCACCTTACGGATCGCTATGGCTAACGAGAATTCAACTTTCGCCTTTAGTTTTACAGGCGACAAGCGCATTTTTCATCACATCATTGAGGTGGACGGCCTCCGCAAGGGGTGCCCTCACTGCGTTACTACGTGCAATACCAGCGCTCCATTAGCCGAGCACTGGCAAAAAGATTTCGACGTTATTGACGAAGATGACAAAGATAAAATTAGTCAGCGCATGGGACGACTAGCGGTCATCGATGAAGGTCCTGTCACACATTTTATTACTCGCGATGACGCCAGAGACATCTTTTGCTCCTTTATCTACAATACTAGAACATACGAGGTACCGGCACTGCTGCGTTTCATATTTCCCTTGGCCACACGACTGTACATCAAAGTGCATATTTACACGAATGTTGCCGACACGACGTTCGTATTGTTCAGCAGCAACGAAGTGGAGTTGGCACATCATCTCGATATCAAACCAACCGTGGATGTTATATTTCAAGCGTTAATGACGAAAATCGATCAGTACATGTGCACGAACTATGGCAGGAGATTTGTGTCATACAAAGTGCCGCGTATAAAGGTGAAAGTGCGACGAGAAAAAATACAAAGTTGGTATGCTTGCTCGCGAGCAAACGGCAAGTCGATGAATCGATTCGAAATGCCCATGCAGTATTGCTTGAAGAATGCAACGATCCAATTAAAACAGCCTTGGCTTACCGACGCGGAAATGACCAGAGTGAACTTGTACTGTTTTCGTTTTTGTGAGGACACACACGAGGTGTATGTTGTGCCGCATCAGCTAAAGAACGTACGCGAGGTAGTACCACCCAACGCGGAAATCTGGCCATGGTATAAGCGTTATGTTTCGCTAGGCTCTGATTATATAATGATACAAAATACTGAAGGCAAACTCGACCAACTTTTGGATATAACGAACTTGAATCGTTTCCTACAACCCGAACCGTTCGATCCAGATAAGAATATCTGTTTGAAGTGTAAAGCTAAATTTGCGAATATCAGCGAATTACTGGTGCATGAGAAGCTTAATTGTGGCGAGGATATTGAGGTGCTCACGCTGGAGAAGGATGATGAGTATTACGCGTATGGGAGCATACCCGTGGGATATCCAGGGTTTGAGTCGAAATTTTATTTCCTTTGTAGAGAGTAGTCGATGAGTGTTTTTGCTGTTATATGTTATGAAAAAAAATCAATAAATTATGTATATATGTTTGTTTATTCCTTATAAATAAAAAAGAAAAGTGAAAAAAGCTTCCAAAATTATATTTCTACTTTTTGAAAAGGTATTTATGAACATAATTCAATGAAAATTATGATTTTTACTTTAAGGCTACTTGTTCGAAAACTAATTCGAATAAAGCTAGTTAACTTGTAACTAGTATATGGACTAGCTTTAACTAGTTCAAAACTACTGATACATATTTTTGGAAAAATATTGAAATATGTTTTAATAATTTTTTTTACATATGCTTGTATACACTTCTACATATATAAATATATAAAAAGAAATTTATAGATACAGATGTCTGTGAGGGTTTTCCACTGATTTGTGTTGTGTCTCTTTCTTTTTGCCGTTTGAAAACCGGAAAAGACGTGCATACTTACATATACACACATAAGTATTTACCTAAACTGCATAAAATACACATGGATTGAGAGCGCCGAGAAAAGTGGTATATACACATTCATATTCACTTAACATAGATACCTTTAAAAATACCTAGTAAAAGAGAAAAAAAAGAGAGAGGTACAAAGAAGTTTAAGGGGTGATTAAAATACATGTAAATATGTCAAAAAAATTCAGTCGAAAATAATTGCAGATTGGCTTTCTGAGAACGCATACAGGCTTGTAGATAGCATAACTGGTGGTAAATAAAAGGAAAACAAAAGCCAAAAGAAAAATGCAAAGAACAGCAATATAAAATATATAAGCATAGAGAGAATACACACACAACGGCGGTAATTATACAATACACATAGACATTTTCTATCTTTAAAATTTTAACGCTGCTAATAATACTACAGGTTAAATTTTTAGCTATTTTAACATCCAAAGCAAGAAACTCAAAATTAGCAAAATAGAGCAAAGATATTTGCTAAGGCGATGATTTCCACTATCCATAGGTTAAGATTAACGTCCAGGTATGCGAAAATTGAAAATATAGACCAAATAGCAACCTAAGAAAAATTTCTGTATCCATTGAATTTTAATATGTACATACATATGTAGATAAAAACACTCATTCGAAAATTTATTTTATTTATTCTACTTCTATATTTTAATTTATTTTATTTTTATTTTATTGTTATTATTTTTAAATGAATGTAATAACGCTTTGCTTTAATTCATTAATTTTATTGCAATTTTTTTAAATTTGCTTAACTAACTTTTTTAATTTATTTAAATTAATTAAACATTTAATTGAATTAATTTGATTCAAAAATTTTGTAACATTACTTTTTAGTTTCAGCAAAATTAATTTATATTAATTTTTTTTTTTAATTTGTCATTAATTCCATTCAATCGATCATTAATTTATTTTATTTGTTTAATGTAATTTTTAATACTTCTGTTTTAGTTAAGTTTACGTTCATAACATTTTATTTTGTATTACTCTATCTTTTCTTAGTTTAATTAAATAATTTATTTACTTTGTATTTATTTATTTATTATATTTTATTTTAATCCATTTGATACTTTATTTTATAGTGTTATATATAAATTAACTTTTCTTTAATTTATTTTATTTTATTTTATATCACTTTATTTGACTTTATTTCTTTTTTATTAAATTTCAATTTAAAATTATTTAATTTATTTATTATAATTTGTATATAATTATATTCAATTTAATTTTATTGAATTTAATTTTACACTATTTAATTTGGTATACATCTGTTTTATTTTATTTTTATTTTTTTTTTTTATTTCCATTTTATTAAATTTGATATTATATTATTCTATATTATCTTTTTTATTCTGTTATATCTTACTATACATTATTTTATTTTAATTTATCTTCTTTTTTTATTTTATTTACTTTAATTTACTTTAACTAAATAAAGTTTAATTAATTTTGCTTTTTTTTATTTTGTTTTCTTTTCTTTTATTTTATTTATTTTAATTTAATTTTACTTAATTTAGTTTAATTATTTTAATTTCGTTTTAATCTCTGATTTATTAAGTTTTATTTTATTTACTTTAACTTGATTTAGGTTCAATTTATTTTATTTTACTTTATTTCATTTTATTTTATTTTATTTTATTTTATTTTATTTTATTTTATATTAATTTATTTTATTTTATTTTATTTTATTTTATTTTATATTAATTTATTTTATTTTATTTTATTTTATTTTATTTTATTTTATTTTATTTTATTTTATTTTATTTTATTTTATTTTATTTTATTTTATTTTATGTTATTTTATTTAATTTAATTTATTTTATTTTTTCTTTTACTCTATTTTATTTTAAATTTTTGCATTTCATTTTATGTTATTATATTTTATTTTATTTCATTATATTTTATTTTTGTTTACTTACTTACTGACTTTACTGGCGTAGACACCGCTTTCGCGATTATAGCCGATTTACAACAATGTGGCATTCGTATCTTCGTTTGGTTTATGTTAATTTATTTAATTTTTTTCGTATATTTTATGTTACATATGTAGTAATTATTAGTTTTTGTTAGCTTAGTTATATTTGATTTAATTTATGTTATTTTATACAACTTTTTATTTAGATAATTTTTTTTAGGTCAAAAAATAATGTCAACTAATTAGAGTCTTAGTTGATTAACTTACGATCGAAGTAAAGTTTTTAAAAGAGGCAAAACGGAATTTCTAAGAGCAGAGGGAGGCGGCTTTCAATTTGACATTAGTCTCTTATTTCCAACTCTTCCTCTCTTCCAACCCACCACCAAGGCACATGAAATCGGGCCCAACTCACAACACTTTAGTTGTCATTTAGCTGTGGTGCATGGAATATCTTAGTGCTTACGTTGCATACACTGGATTTTTATAAATTTGAATTTAAAGTGGTCTGCCCATTATCGTAGAATGTTCTCTACAGCCTCCTATAAGTACCGGAAAAATAAAGCGCTCCGAACTTTCTGTCATTATGTAGCAAAAGACAGTGATGAAGCTTGCTGGTTTTGTGCGAGTACGACGTTGAAAAGTGAGCCGTTGTGGAAGCACTGGGGACCGGAGAGAAGGATTACCCAAATGTTTGCATGCAGCGATGTTGGGAGGAGTAGAGTGAAAATATTTTACTCAAATGGCGGGAAATATATAGTGTCATGCCATGACGACGCGTTCATAATGGGAGGTAGAGCGTGGTATTATGTCGTACCGCATCTGGCATCCAAGCTATTTTACGACCGTGCACGAGTGCACTTTAAATTAAGTTATTATTATGAATTTAATAAAACTACAGTCTTTAAATGTACCAGCTCTGAGTTAGCATTGGAGCATCATTTGGATATACCAATAGCTGTCAACACAATAACAACGATGTTCAATAGTAAATGTACTATTTTCCAAAAGAGAAATAAGTTAAAACGATGCAACCTGGTACACATCAGAATTCATGCGCGACGTGAGCCGAGGGAATTTGACGAGGCTGAGGAGTACGTACTGCCCTTGCAGTACCGCCTAATGAATAAATTCACCAAACCACAAACTGAGATCACCGCAAACGATGTGGATAAAGTAAATTGTTTCTACTTTCAACCATGTCTACGTGCCAAACACATTATATTGACGGTACCTTACAACTTGTCATCTGTTTCCTCTGATGGTCAGCTGGTGGGCAAAAAGTATTTAATGCTTCAAAATTACAAAGGAGATATCGATAACATATTGGAGATAACAGACGATAGTGAGTTGTTTTTGCCAGATTTCGAAGAGGTTAAGTGCGACAAGTGCAATGTAAAATGCGAGGAAAGTCTTAGTCTGGCGGTACACAAGGCTCTCAACTGCGGAAATGATTTTGAAATTTTTTCAATTGAGAGCGATGAGAAGGAGAATGTCAGAAAAAACAAGGGCTCTATTGATTGGGGTAATGCGCAGAATGTAGAAAATATTGACAAGGAGATCGCTGATGGCACCCATGTGTGGGATATATATATGAAGGAAGGAGAGTCATCAGACGAAGATGAAGATGAAGATGAAGGTGAAGATAGAGATGAAAATGAAGATGAAGATGGAGATGAAGAAGAAGATGAAGATGAAGATGGAGATGAAGATGAAGATGAAGATGAAGATGAAGATGAAGATGAAGATGAAGATGAAGATGGAGATGAAGATGAAGATGAAGAGATGAAGATGAAGATGAAGATGGAGATGGAGATGAAGATGAAGGTGAAGGTGAAGGTGAAGGTGAAGGTGAAGATGAAGATGAAGATGAAGATGAAGATGAAGATGAAGATGAAGATGAAGATGAAGATGAAGATGAAGATGAAGATGAAGAGGAAGATGAAGATAAAGATGAAGATGAAGATAAAGATGATGATGAAGAGAAAGATGAAGATGAAGATCAAGATGAAGATGGAGATGAAGATGAAGATGAAGATGAAGATGAAGATGAAGATGGAGATGAAGATGAAGATGAAGATGAAGATGAAGATGAAGATGGAGATGGAGATGAAGATGAAGGTGAACATGAAGAGGGAGATGAAAATGAAGATGAAGATGAAGAGGGAGATGAAGATGAAGTTGAAAATGAAGATGAAGATAAAGATGAAGATGAAGATGAAGATGAAGGTGAAGATGGAGATGAAGATGAAGGTGAAAATAAAGATAAAGATGAAGATAGAGATGAGGAAGGCGAAAGGGAAAGAAACAAAAACAAAAACAAAAACGAAACACAAGATGAAAAGGAAAAGGAGCATGAAAATACTGATTTTGTTACGGTCAAAGCAAAAGATGCAGAAGAAAACGGAGGTGAAGATGATGTTGAAGATAAAGACCGAGATCAAGTGAAAAACGAAATGGCGAATCAATCTGAAAGCGATAGTGATGGCAGCGATTTTGTGTTTTTATAAAAAATATGATGGTATGGCGGTTATAATATATTTTTCATTTTCAATTTTATCATAAACATTTTATTGCTGTTTATATTATTTTCTCATTTTATTTTATATTAATTTGTGTTTTTTTTTTTGTAATTGAATTAACTTTATTTTAGTTAATTTAAGAAAATTTTATTTTCTCATATATTATTTTTTTCA